TGAATTTCGGGGGGTCAAAATATTTGGTAAGTAAAGCTTATTCAATTTCTATCCGTATAGACATCCTTCAGCCAAATAAATGGTAACAGAACATGGGGTCGGAAAAGTTACAATATATTTTCTTAAAACTTTAAACCGTACCGAGTAAAACTCTAAAATATGGACTCTTCAGAAGTTACACCTATCAAGCATTTTTTTGAAGTAACTAGGAACTAGTTGTTATTAAACGAAGGCGTTTTATTACAACTAATTTCTTCGAGCCAATACATGGCGAATATTTGACAAAAAATGTTTTGTAGTGTGTAGTTATGCTGACCACGGCAAGAACATTTTTTTTTTGAGATTTGATAGATGAGGTACCAAATACATGCATATGTATATTAAACAAATATAGTAAAATTACCATTTTTTTCGAACTTCTGAAACCTGAAAGGGTTCTATGTAAGTAATAAGTAAAATTATACTAGCAAATATTAAATTTTGGTTAGATTACCAATGCATCTTTAAAATCAAGTTTTACGGAGCTCCTGCGATGCCTAAATTAAGAGATTTGGTCTCGCAATTTAAAAATAATATACATACATACAACATATGTATGTATGTATGTATGTACCTATTCAAGTGAATGGATTTGTATCACTATTAAATAAAAATTATATGACTCACTCTATATACATACATACATACATTCATATGCATAACGAGCCGTAAACCTCCACATTGTTTGCGCATCATATAAGGTTTCAATTCAATTAAAATAATACTGATAATTTCAAATCTATTTGCTGATGCCGCGAACGTAATAGTTTTTACCCCCAAGCAACTTTGTATTCACATTTATTTTATACATATTAGGTAGTCGAAAAAGTCTTTTCGTATTTGGTCAATAGATGTCGGTGCAGTTGTATAAGTATCTCCAGTGCTACCAATCACATTGAGCATTCCATATAGTGTTGAAAAGGTGAAATTTTGGGCTTCATTTATTAAAAAAACAAAAAAAAACGGGAATGTTGAAAAATAGTTATAACTGTTTTTTCATAATAAAGGGAAGAATTTACAGTGGCAGTGACAGTTTTTTTTCAGGTGACGATATGTACATTCTTTGTACTGTGAGCGTCAAAAATAAGTAATCACCAATTTTACCAAAGATTAAGTTTTTATTACAAAGCAATCTATAACAAAACAACAATAAGTGTTTCCAAATTAATGCAAGGATTATATTTAAAGAATTTGTAAAAATAACAAACAAAAACTAAAAGTAATCTCGTTTTCTCTTCATAAAGTTATTAGTAACAGCACACATTGTCTTTTTAATACTTTTTTCGGAAACGCTCTATAAATTCTTTAGAAACAGTTGCTAGTCAAGCGAACGATTGTTTTCAAAAATATTTTCGCATAGCGCTATTATTTTTCTGAGGTAAAGTCCCTAAAACATCAAATTTTGCAATCGTTAAGTAAACAACCACTGAAAGAGCGAAAAATTATATTAGATTTGCATAAGAAAAGTAAATCCGGACGTGAAATTGAAAAAATAGTTGAAAGGCACTATTATTAGTAAATGTGGTAAACATGTAAACATCATCTATTGAAAATTTGTCTCGCTCTAATTTTATGATATAAGCCTTGCATTTTGTTACAATATTTCTTGTTGTTTTGTTATTACTGCATTGTAATAACAACTTCAACGTTGCAAGAATTTGTGTTTACTTCTGTATGACGCTCACAGTACATACATATACTGAGTGAAATATGTAGGTACATATGTACTTATGTATAGAAATACATACGTAAGTATATTAAAAAGAATAGAACGTCCTTATCACAGAAGGAAATTACATTAATAGGAAAATGTGAATAATGTGTGAATGTTCATACGGCAACCCGCTTACACATTATTATATATATACTCATAGTCTATATGTACATGTGAAGATAAGCATTCATATAGAAGTACGCATATCATTTTAAACTGAATAATATTTATTATACAAAAAAATTTAATAAAAACAATTGTTGACGTCAATTCAAACCTTCCGATCTATTTTTAAGGTTCTCCCGTTTTTGACATAAAGCAATGTACATACATTATATCAGGACAAATTTTTGAATTGATCAATCAAACATAGCAAAGCGACAAAGTTACCATCATATCTCTTTGAAAAGCTTTGCTTAATGATTATGTAATTGTGTTTTAATGAAAACGCCAATTCCAAATTAATAGATTTTCTCAAGACTTGCTACTGACCTCAAAAATTTCGAAATTGCATTCTGACACAGTAACGCATATAGTTAAAATTGTTCTGCCATTTTGATACTTTCTTTTAAGTAAAAATGAACGAAATCGTTCTGAAATTTTGGTAACAGTTATGATCGGATCGCAGCTAAACTTAACTTTAATGCAATTTTTTTTCAATATTATTTATACTTGTGTAACCTAACTCTGATTGAACACGATAGATTGATTTCAGAAAAAACAGTATTAAAAAGACTGATCGTTCTCTAATTTTGAGCTATTTACAATTTACCACTAAACTTGCTTGTATCGACAAAAAGGAAATTTCTCTAAACTTGTGATAAGAACAAATTTTGTAAACATTAAATCTGACAAATAAAATGTAGTCCCAGCAATTCTAAAACGCGTGAAATGGAATAAAATCGTGTAAACAATAATAAACATAATTAGGAGTATACTAATAATCATTATAGCTAATATTACTCACAAATGAAAAATGAACTTTACTTTAATACCTACCCAGTTTAGAATCCCTATCTTCATACAAACATACATATTATATAAATGTGCATAAATAACGTATTTGGCAGTAAAATAATAAAAAGCACAAAGAAAATTAAGTATTAAACGAACAAAGAACAATAATGGGACATTAGATTTATTATTGCCTTTATTGTACTATGTGTATACATTTAATATAAGATTGTACATATGTATGTACGTGTATTGTTATAATTGATATTTTCAATGCATGAATTTCACACGCATTTATCTACATACATATACAGTTATGGACAAAGCAATAGGATTCAGATTTTGTAAAAACCAATAAAAAGCAAGTATTAAGAGCAAGTTATTCAAAAGGAATTAGCTCATCTTAGGCTTTCATTAGACTTAAACATAGGATTAAAATCACAACCAATTTTTTAACCAATAAATTATAATATCCCCTATTAACAATTATGTCCATGCAGAGTTTAGACAAATGAAAAATATACTTAATTTTAGCAACTCTTTTGCAAAATCGGGTGCCATACATATAGGCAAACTTTTTCTAAATTGTTTTTTAGTTTTAATTAGACTTACACGATCCTTTTCTACTTTGAAAGCATTTTTGTTTACTATTTAAGTCTGTTGATTGCGGAACCTAATCCATTAGCCAGATTGAGGAGGTTTGAAAAAAAAAAATATATATATGTATATAATAAAGTCTGCGTTCACCAGGCACACCATAAAGAAAATTAAATCCAATATTTTGTTGGATAACAATTTTAAAACCTCACTCAATCGATTTGGCATCAACTTATCTATTTCCTCAGCTGGATCCGGGGCCATTGCACCTGCATTACACTTCGAAAAGCCTCCTTACTTGTTATTGTATGCTGACGATTTTTTTGTAAGATCCCATACATGTCCAATAGGATCGGGGTCAAATATAAAATGTTTAGGAAAATTGTACAAGAGCAAAAGTTTTACTAATTCAGCAGTATGCTTCGAATCGTTATGTTGTAGGTTAAAGATTCCTCATTGTCAATTCAATAAATTCAAGCTGACCCGCCACCTTCGCGTTCACCAGTAAGTTAGGTGTTGTAAGTATTAGTCCAATTTTTCTGAAACTTTCGCCATTTTTTCACAATCTAATAATTGTTTTTCTTACCGACAAACTAATTTCATTTGGTTTCCACTTTTTAAACATAATATTAATAAGTAAGGAAGGGCTAAGTTTGGGTGCAACCGAACATTTTATACTCTTGCAACTTACAAGAATCAAAGCCAGGAAAATACTTTAAGGTGTAAAACCAATCATATTGAGTAAAGTCATCCGGATGTTCGAAGATCCTGATATTAGTTACATAAGGGCAAGGCCAAGTTTTCACTCAAATTTATCTACTTTAGGCACAAAGACACACTGTTATGAATAAAAAACGTTATCTTATTTTCATTGGGCTAAGTCATATATTGGGCGATATATGCGGTGCAAAGTCACCCCGATGTTCGAAAATCTTTATGTAATATTAAGTATATGGGGGCTAAGGAAAGTATTCGACATTTTCGATCAAAAGTCAAATATGGGTATCTGAGTTGTTGTTGTTGTTGTAACGGCAGAATTCTGCGTTGACAGTCCTTGGCCGGATAAAAATCCGGGCCCGTTCCGGTTTTCGTAGACCCGACTGTCGTGGGAACGGATGGGTATCTGAGTCTAAATGTTCGGTATTGTAATTGCTTCTTGATTTGTGTACTGAAAACTGAACGAATCAAGTGGATTTTAAAATTACGTTATATGGGGAATAGGCGAGGTTGTTGTCCAGTTAAGGTAAAAAACCCGAATTTCCGTATAAATGGGGTATGTGGGGAGCTTCTCCAGAGGAGAAATATCCAAAAATAATAAAAAAATTACTTATGTTTATTAAAATTTTCACGATTAAAAGTTCAAAAATTTCTCTATCTACAATTAAATTTATTTACGTTTTTTACTCTGTACATTTAAATATACACTCTAACCATTGAAATGAGTTCAAATTTTAATTTTATTTTGTAATATTTCACCTAAATTTATTAATTTAAAAATCACTTAGCACACTCGGCGTTGCAAAGGTTAGATTGCTTACTACTACTATTTCCACAACAACAGTTCAAAATAAAAATACATTTTAAAATTGCTTTTAGAAAAATGAAAAATTACCAAATTGTTTAAAAATAATAATAATTAATATAAATATGATAAATTTAAGATGCTATACTAAAATTTATTGTTTATAAAACTTACCCAAGGGCAAATCGCAAAGTAAACAACATGCTGAAAGTGCTCCTGCCGATGCTCCTCCAATTTTCTCCAACAACAGATGTGGTGCATATTTTTTAAAACATACTGCCACACCTACATGATAAATGCCTAAAAATCCACATCCAGCAAATGATAAATTCATTTTTGCTTATCTCACGTTGATAATGTTATCGATGATTCAATATATTTAAACTATTCATAAACCTAAAGTCTCCTCACTGGGAGAGGTAGGTTAGACTTTTTTAAATAGCTAATTTCAATTACTTTAATTTCCTTTAATTAAATACACCATCTACTGATTAAATTTACTGCACTTCCGTCTAATACACAAATTGCTTCAAAGCGTTTTGTCTCTTGCGTTTATACTAGCGTCGCACTTTCACAAGTTTTCTCCACGTTTTTCAATTGCATATATTATACCAAGGCATATTTCAAGAACATTCAACAATATTAAATAAATTATTCGTTGTTTTGCTGAATTATTTTTTTCCGACCACTCGAAAATTTGATCTAATATTCTCAAAAAAAAGGGCACGAATGTTCTCTTCATTTCAGCTGCCAATATTTATATCATTCGCTTTGCGCTTACCTAATCTGACATTCCGGTATGCTGGCAACACCTCGTTCTCTGGTAAGTATTTCCTACCTTTTCTAACGGGACAACTCGCCAGACAATTTAAAATTGCTAAAGATTTATATTGCTAGCAATTTTGACAATGGCCGAAGGCTGCAGGTACGGAAAAGATTCCGTTTATTACAAAAAAAAATGTATTTTTAATTTTTTTTTCCACGAATTTGCACTATTCGCGTCAAAATAAGCCGATTAAAAATATGTTTAATGATGGTAAGTTATCAAAAAATTTTTCTATTTAAAGAATCCAAGATCTTTTTTTGAATCATTAATATGTGTATTTATTTCTTTTCATATTTGAAAAATGAGGTTATCTTCACTAAATGTACAAGGACAAGTAGTTTGAGCAAACAATTTTTACAACTAATTATTAAATTTCTAAATATAAATATTCTTGGAACTAGTTTTTATATCAATATACGAGTTTATATCTTGGGCAATTGAAGCTCCTTTTACGGTTTTCAAATGAACTACCTTTTCGTTGAAATTTTGAACTTCGGTATTGTCGAAATATACTGAATCCTTCAAAAAGTCGTTGACACTTTAGTTTATGGAATTATGTGTAGTAAAAGGATTGACAAAATTACAATTTCAATTAACTTTTTTTTTTGTCAGTAAAAAGTAAAAATAAAAACATAGCATCATTAAACAAGGTTTCGCTAGATTTGACAGAAATTTGAAAAAAATAATAATTTTAAAAGAATGGTCGTGTAGGAAGGTAAAGTGGTTGTTTCAACTCTGGGCCATAGGAGGCCCATTATATACCACCGGGATTGAAGCCATTTGTATACATATATTCAGATATAGCAAGCATTGAAAACGATAGATTTACTTTGTAAAAAATTTGCTCCATAATCCATAATTTTGTAAAAAAAAATTAAATTGAAAATCTATAATTTTGTGAAGAAATTTTTTTTTTAAACGTCGTCTTTACAAGTTACATTATAGTGATAGCTCGCTCGCAGTTATTTCCGAAGGGCCGCCTCATGGAGGAGGCTACCACCGGATTCCCCCCAGCCAAAAAAAAAGAAAAGCTCAATGAAAAAACTTAAACAACCCGAATATTTTTCCTACTCTAACCTAAATTACGAAAAAAACTCTATAATAATAAAAACATTGACTCTCAAAAATTTCTAACCATCAAAAGTACAAATAGTACATGCTCTTAGTATTTAGCGGCTTTTCACTATTTGTACTTTTGATGGTTAGAAATTTTTGAGACAAAAGTGCTAAACGGTAGATATCGTTAGTGAGAATAATAGAAAACTAACAAAATTTACACATGATGGAAATTTACTCGTTATACCTTGAACAGGATATAATAAGTTTGTCACGAAGTTTGTAACACCCAGAAGGAAGCGTCGGAGACCCTACAAAGTATATATATAAATGATCAGTATGTCGAGCTGAGTCGATTTAGCCATGTCCGCCTGTCTGTCTGTAAGAACTAGTCCCTCAGTTTTCAAGATATCGTTTTGAAATTTTGCAGACGTCATTTTCTCTTCAAGAAGCTGCTCACTTGTCTGAGCGGCCGATATCGGACCAATATAATAAAAGAGCTGCCATACAAACTGAATGATCGGAATCAAATGCTTGTATGGAAAACTTTTACATTTGACAAGATATATTCACGAAATTTGGTATATATTATTTTCTAAGGCACCAATGTAATCTCCAAAAAAAATATTCAGAACGGATTACTAAAGCATATAGCTTCCTTACAAACTGAACACGTAGTTACTAACAGAAATGCGCCTGTGGAGGGTTTTTAGCTTCGGTGCAGCCGAAGTTAACGTTTTTCTTGTTGTAGTTAACAACATCAAAAAAAAAACCGCAGACATTTTAATAAAAACAAAAAATCTGTAAAATATATGCGAAATTACTTGTGAATATCATACAAAACTTAATACGGTGAAAGTTGTGATTTCTTGTCCAGCATTAAAATAACAACTGGCCTTACGGATCTAAGTGTAATCGAAGTTACTAAAATTAAAAAAAAAAAAACAAATAACGGATATGTAAATACTCCTTTGCATATTCTATCATTTGACTTATACCAGCTCCATAAAGACCTAAAGTTGGTTTCGAAACTAATCAAATCAAACCTTTTATTCCTAAACCCATGCAATGCAAAATATGACGTTATCGATCATACAAAAAACAGGTGTACCAACACTCCTGTTTGTGTCACATGTGCGTTACCACTCAGAGGTAATAAAGTGCACTCAAATTAAATACATTAACTGTAATTCTCAGCATAAATCAACAAATAAAAAATGCCCAACTTATCTTAAAAAGCAGGAAAGCCTTAAATATTCTACAATAAACCAAACATCAATTAAAGATGCAATACTTCTTCTTCTTAATTCGCGTAGACAGCGCTTGCGCGATTATAGCCGAGTTAACAACAGCGCGCCAGTCGTTTCTTCTTTACGCTACGTGGCGTCAATTGGATATTCCAAGCGTAGCCAGGTCCTTCTCCACCTGGTCCTTCCAAAGGAGTGGAGGTCTTCCTCTTCCTCTGCTTCCCCCGGCGAGTAAAGCGTCGAATACTTTCAGAGCTGAAGTGTTTTCGTTCCGGACAACATGACATAGCCAGTGTAGCCGCTGGCTTGTAATTCGCTGAACTATGTCAATGTCGTCGTATATCTCGTACAGCTCATCGTTCCATCGAATGCGATATTCGCCGTGGCTAACGCGAAAATCTTTCGCAGAACTCGCAACGTCGACTCATCCGTTGTTGACATCGTCCAAGCCTCTGCACCATATAGCAGGACGGGAATTATGAGTGACTTATAGAATTTGTTTTTGTTTGTCGAGAGAGGACTTTGCTTCTCAATTGCCTACTCAGTCCGAAGTAGCATCTGTTGGCAAGAGTTATCCTGCGTTAGATTTCCAGACTGACCTTGTTGGTGGTGTTTACGTTGGTTCCAAGATACACGAAATCATCTACGAAGTCAACATCAATCGTGTCCTTAATTTCAAAGTTTGCTAGTAGTCTTGAAAAAGAAATTACTCTGTTTGAACTGGAAAATAATCTTAAAAATACTAAAGAGAATTTTTCTGGCCCGGACAGAATCACCTATGCAATGATTAAAAATGTACCTCTGGTACTGAAAAGTCTTTTAATTAATTTATATAATTTAATCGTCAAAACTGGTGTGTTTCTCATTCTTGGAAAAAATCAAACGTCAATTGTATTCCAAAAAATATGAATGAGAAAGATGACTACAAAAATTACCGTCCTATCTCGCTTTTATCATGCTTAAGCAAACTGTTGGAAAAAATAATATCAAAACGTATACAATTTTTTTTATTTCAAAACAATCTGATAAGTAGAAAACTGCTTTTAAACCCAAGTCAGGCACGGTAGAGGCGATAATTACCTAGATCACTCTCTAGCTAGTAATTTATCAACTCGAAATCACTGCTCTGTTATAAGTGTTGATTTTACAAAAGCCTCTGATCGTATATGTATCCACTCTATACGCAGTCAACTTGATCAGTGGAAAGTTGGTCCAAAAATCTACAACTATACAATAGACTTTTTTTTTATCAAATAGAATCTTTTGAAAAAATAAATACTTAATGGGAAACGTTAAAAACATATCCCACTATTTATACGCAGAGACCTTTATTTTGTTTTGAAGGTTAATGATGTAAACAATTACATTAATGATTTGGAAAAGTTTTCTACTTTATTTACAAATTGGTCATTAACATCGGGGGCATCTGTTAATTTTGAAAAGTGTAAGCACCTACATACATATACGCAAGAAGCGGAACTGTAATCTCTCAGATTAAATATTTCAAAATCATACAATAGAAAGTGTGCGTAATCTTAAAATCCTAGGAATAACCTTCGATTAAAAACTAACTTGGAAATACCAAATTGAAGACCTATGTCAGACCTTTTAAAACGAATGAATCTACTCAAAATCATATGCAGCATGAAAAGTGGTGCAAATACAAAGTTTCTATTAAATATTATGTAAGCCTTGATATTGGGGAAAATCTACTATGGTCTTATTATATATGGCAAAACATCCAAACGCTGTCTGAAGAAGATCAAAAAATATTACCACATGGCAGCGCGCATTATTAGCCTCGCGTTTCAAACAACTCCAATTGCAAACATACTCTATGAACTGAAGCTCCCTACTATTGAAGATTGCATTTTTAAATTAACTGAGAATAAAATATGTATATGTATAACTGCACACAAAACTCAGATAACATCCTGGACACAGACTATAAAGCTTTAGCTCACTCGAAAAGATACCTAAAAATTAAGTCTACAATCACGGAAATCTTCAAAATGGCTAAGAAGATGGATATAGATTTTTCGAAAGTTTACAAAGTATTCAGTCCTCCCAGTGGTTTTACCAAAAATAGCACGAACCCACTTGCTTTAAGGCAACTACATGCTGAAGAAGTGCAAAAATGGAAGCGAAAGAACTGGCTAATTTGGTACTGTTATGGTTCAAAGAAAGTTGAAAACACTTTTACTATTACAACATTATCAAAAAAGCTAATAAAAAATGGACTTTTGCCTAGCTACATGGCTATATTTACCTCGGAAATTACAGCAATTGAAGAAGCTGCAAAATTAAAACCCAAATGCTGTAACCTAATATTATGCACCGATAGTCTCTCATTAATAAACGCTTTAAAATCGGCAAATATTAGCGGCATTCTCACATTCTTATACGAAAAAAAAATATATAAAAATTGTATATAGTTTTGTATGACCAAGTTTAAGTCTCATCAAAACAAGTTGCTGGTGCTAAGTCTTAAAATTCGATTTGCTGCCATGTTGTTGAGATAACTGATGCATAGTTTTACAATGAGCATTAATTTCGTTTTCATAATTTGAGTCACGTTGTTTTTTAATAAAGTTTGCGAGGCACCTTTTAATA